TCGACTACGGTTTAATAATCAGCAATTTTAGAACTCTTTCTCAAGGTAGTAATACTAACCGTTATGGAAAATAGTGTTTTCAACTTAGCCTTCAGTTTTTGGGAGTTCGAAAGTCAACTTTGAGTAATATCAACATGATAACAATGTGAATCGATTGACACCAACGTTTTAGAAGCGTTACGTAGTCTATAGTCGTACTAGTCTCAAATTGAAGAACTTAACCATCTCGAAAAAATCTACATAACTGTTTGATTCGCACTGTATTATACTACTACTAATAAACTAATACAACTAAATAACAACAAAAAATAATCACCGCAAGAGAACCCAATGGCGATCGAAATATACATCATTTCAACGGCTACTACTACACAGTGTGCAAAAAGAGCTAATCCTCCTGAAAAGCCCTAAAATTACAATAATTACTACCGATATAATAGGCAGCAATGACCAACACATAACAACAATTGTCTCAACTCCCATTGTTTTGCCGTATCACTGTGTCGTTGGATGCTACGGTGGAGTATATGTTTGCTCTCCTCAGCTCAGCTCGGGAGTTTTCTCATTTACTATGAAAGTTTACAGACGAATTCGGGTAAGAGTGTACAGAAACCAGAAAGAATTCTCCTGAATTTCCTCGGAATTTTCAACACATTTAGTTGACCACGTACATACTCTCGAATACTGCGCGTATCACACTTCCTACTACTACTACTACTACTACTACTACTACTACTACTACTACTACTACTACTACTACTACTACTACTACTACTACTACTACTACTATTAGTACTAGTACCTATCCCTATCAAATGCTGTAAATGCACTTAGGTAAGTGTCCTTAGATAAGGGAACTCTCTTTGGGGGATGACCACCAGAGGCTTCATACAAACCTACATAGATACCACCAATGGAGTTTCACGACCCGTTTCACATCAAGTCGGTAAAAAACCAAACATTCGCGGTGATATGCAGTAGTCGTGATATATATTTTTCACTAGTGTTTTTCATATAAAATTAATAAATTCCTTTAGTATTTCTACGACTAGTATAAACATGTGTATTACTAGAATACTCCTCATAATTGATGAAGTAGTTAACAAGGGCGAAACCGTTTTCAAAATCAGAGTAGTCGAGAGTCTTCTTCCCTCTGGCAAGTGAGTTGAATATCGATATCAGATGTTTCATTGTCGCCCTGTTGAACCCAGTGCCTAAAAACGGACCTATTCTGAATCTTACACGCTCAACCTAAAGATACCCACGTTGTCGCAAGCCAATGACGAACTTCTGGTCATCCCACCAGTCGGGCATAGGACCGGCTGAAGTCTCATCTGTTCTCGAGGAAAAACACCGAGTTGTCCCCCCTGGGATTAGCGGTGAAAACTGATGAAAAAAAACAATTCACATATACGATATATTCAATTTCGAAAATACATGTTCGCTTCCCTCAACTGAGCTCAGAGTAGAAAAAATGTACAAAAACCAGCAAAAAATTCCTCAAAATTTACATGTTGTCATCACCAAGTTTTCCATACTGAATATTTCATAAACTTACGGTTTTTGATGGAAATGCAGATTCACGACTGGGCGCAGTAGAAGTGCATCGCTCGAATGCATGTGTGACTGGCAAGAAGCCTCCACCCGTGTCGGGTCTTGTCCTTGTTGATCTACTACACGAAGACGGCGAGGTTGACGCCATAAGTGTACGCAGTTGATGATGATGTTGTATGGTGAGGGCGAGGGGAGACAGCGGTCGAAGTGAAGATAGAATGGTGGAAGAGAAAACGATGAAACAACTAAATACAAAGATACGACAGGGAAAACGAGAAAAAAGAAACACGTATACAACAATAACAACATATACAACAACAACATATACAACAACAACATATACAACAATAACATATACAACAACAACATATACAGCAATAACAACATATACAACAACAACAGCAACAACAACAACAACAACAACATATACAACATATACAACATATACAACAACAACATATACAACAATAACAACATATACAACATATACAACATATACAACAACAACATATACAACAATAACAACATATACAACAATAACATATACAACAACAACATATACAGCAATAACAACATATACAACAACAACAATAACATATACAACATATACAACATATACAACAACAACATATACAACAATAACAACATATACAAGAATAATTAACTGCCCAGCAAAAACCACGACAAAAGCCTCTTGCTAAAAGGATGGAATATCAATAGAACAATCCTAGTAGAAAATTCGGAGCCGATTAACTGAAAATTCCGAAAAACTCGGAAAAAATTCTCGGATTTTTTCAATTCGTAGTCTCCATCCGAATTCACGAAAATCAACTTCCCCGCGAACTTGGGAATTGAAATTAGAATTCAGACTCTTCAGCAACTCCACGTGTTTCAACAGACCTCTCCTAAGCCTACACTAATGTCATCACCATAGGCTTGGACAGTCCTGGCCGCTAAGATGTATTAGATCTCAATCCAGATGAAAAGTTGTATGGAAAAGTCTTCAATATCACCCTAGGTATTGTGACAATTGTGTCGGTACTGTTCCTCAAGCCTCGTATCTTTGTAACTGTGCCAGGCTAGCAGTGCTAATAGGTAATCATTAGTCAAGTTAAGTCTCAAGTAATTATCTGTGACGAGTGGGTTACTAATGTCTAGGACATTG